CTTGGGAAGCCTCAACCAAGAGCCCAGTCCAGCCAAGGTGGCTCAGTGGTTGAGTGTCAACCTATGAACCAGGAGGTCACGGTTCAATTACTGGGTTCAGTCCCCGGTAGGTGGCATGCAGGAGGCAGCTGATCGATTCTCTCTGCTCATTGATGTTTCTATCTCTTTCTCCCTCTCTGAAATCAATAAAAATACATTTAAAAAATAAAGCAAGCACCCAAAACTTGCTAAGGTAAGAATGCCCCTACTACAGTGCCAAAGGTCCTCCTTTCAAGATCTATTCTACCCCATAATATTAATAAAAAAATTACACATAAATACCCAAGGCAAATGTGAATAACTCACTTGACTCCCAATTATAAAATTAACTGCCCAAGCCTAGAGAAGCAGAGATCATGCCTGTTCTCAAATATATTCTAGGGAAATTTATCTTCTTTCTACTTGTATCCTGAACACTCTATCTTCCATGCCAAAGTTTCTGATTTTAAACTTCATTATCTTAACGCATTTTCAACCCATTTATGTATCTCTTCTTTGTAAATAAAAGTGTTTGGCCTACTTTCTACTTAGTAAGTAATCAGAAACTTACTCTTTTCCCAAGCTCATATAATCCCAATTCTTTTTTATTTTATTTTTGCCTGTCTTACTTTACAGTCCTTTGATGATCTCTTTGCTTTACTTCCCCATCAACTTATTCATCCCTCGGCAAATACTAATTGAATGGCCATTCTAAGTACTGGAAGATAATATGGCAATGAATAAAATAAGATAGTCCCCTCCTCTCATGGAGTTTTTTTAAAATTTATTTCTCATTTACAGTTGACACACAATATTATATTACTTTCTGCTGTACAACATAGTGATTAGACATATACCTCGCGAAGTGATCATCCTGAGAGCTTATCTTCTAATGGGAAGAGACAAGCAATGATCATAAGTAAAACCACTAGATTAGAAGGTGATAAGTGCTATGAAGAGAAATAAACAGGGAAGAGAGCTAGAAAGTGTTGAAGGAGTGCAATTTTAAGTAGGGTTGTCAGGAAGGCCTCACTAAAAGAAAAAAAAGTTAAGCAAAGACTTAAAGACTCTGATGTAGTAAGCTACACCTGGAGAAAGAGCTTTCCAGGCAGGAGCAAGAAATATAAAGCCCTTGAGGGGTGGGCACACCTTTGGTGTTGAAGAAAAACAAAAAGGCCAATATGCTGGAGCAAAGTGAGCAAGGTGAGTAGCAGGAAGCAAGGTCAAGCAGTAAGTGGGGGAGGGTGCGACCGCTCATGGAAGGTCTCAGAGACTTTAAAGGACTCTGGTTTTTACTCTAATACAGGAAAACACGGAGGGTTTCGAGTGTAAGAGTGACACAATCTGCCTTCCATATTAACACTATTCACTCTGGTTGCTGTGTTGAGAACTGACTCTAAGTGGGCAATGGTCGAAGCAGATAGACCAGCTACTGCAGTAATTCTGATTTGGTCTCGGGTCGGAGCAGTGGAAGTGAAAAGAAGTGGGATTCTGGATATATTCTCAAGGTAAAGTCAACATGATTTGATAAACTGGAGAAGATGAGAGAGGTGTCAAAGATAATGCCAAGGTGCTGTGACACAGAAGTTGTTATTAACTGAAATAGGAAAGATTGCAGCAGTAAGTTGGGAGAAAAGTTCAACTTCAACATGTCAAATTTGAAATGCCATCGAAATCCAGGTGTCAATGGGTAACTAGATATTCAGGACAGAAGTCCAGGTTGGAGCTAAAAAATTGGAGTCATCCACATTAAAATGGTCTTAATATAAAAGACTGAATGAGCCCTGGCTGGTTTGGCTCAGTGAATAGAGCGTTGGCCTGCAGACTGAAGGGTCCCAGGTTCAATTCCGGTCTGGGGCACATGCTGGGTTGAGGCCTCAATCCCCAGTGGAAGGCATGCAGGAGGCAGCGTATCGATGATTCTCTCATCATTGATGTTTCTATCTCTCTCCCTCTCCCTTCCCCTCTGAAATCAATAAAAAAAATATTTAAAAAAAAGATTAACCACCCTAACCAGTTTGGCTCAGTGGATAGAGCATCGGCCTGTGGACTGAAAGGTCCCAGGTTCGATTCCGGTCAAGGGCATGTACCTGGGTTGCGGGCACATCCCCAGTAGGAGGTGTGCAGGAGGCAGCTGATGGATGTTTCTAACTCTCTATCCCTCTCCCTTCCTCTCTGTAAAAAAAAAAAAGATTAACATTTAAAAAATGACTGAATGAAATCACTGCAGGTATGTGTATAGAAGCGGTCCAGGGACTGAACCCTAGAGTTACTAGGTTGTAGAGATCAGGAAAAACCAGCAAGTGAAACTAAGAAAGAGTAGTCAGTGAGCTAGGAGGCAACAAGAGCACATGTCCTAAAGCCAAGTAAAGAAAATGTCTCAGAGGGAGTCAAATGCTGCTGACAGCTTGTGTAAGATGGAACAGAATGTGCCTTTAGGTTTGTCCAAGTCATCGGTGACCGTGATAAGAACAGTCTTGGTGGAATGAACTAAATAGGGAATTGGTGGAGAGGAACTGGAGACAACTTTTAAGATTTTTACTGAAAAATGGGAAGCTATTGGAAGTGGCAATGGGGTTGAGGGGTTCATGTACTTGTAAGATGAGAAAAATGATAGCATCTTTGTGTGCTGATAGGAAGATCCAGGAAGAAAAGGAATACTGACTAAAGAAAGGAGAGAGAATTGTTGAGAGGCGTCCCTAAAAGCTAGAGGATGGACTGTACTGCTCAGGTTTTGGAGAGGAGCAGGGTTTCCTAACCTTGACACCAATGGCATGTTTGCCCAGATAATTCTTTGTGTAGGGAGCTGTTCTGTGCATTGTAGGATATTTTGCAGCATCCCTGGCCACTGGCCAGTAGCACTGCCTCCCAGTTGGGAACCACTGGTATACAGCAGTGGTCGGTAAACCTCGGCTCGTGAGCCACATGCGGCTCTTTGGCCCCTTGAGTGTGGCTCTTCTACAAAATACCACGTGCGGGCGCTGAATGAAACTTCGTGGCCCATGCGCAGAAGTCGGTTTTCGGAAAGGAGATAGACGAAACAAGTATACAAGACGAGTGTGGATGGGAGAGTTGGCAGGGGTCGACCTCAGCGAATGTACCTCAATCAGACTGAGGACGTCTTTAGCAAAGGCCAGCTTAGGAGTACCCTAATTAAGTTAATAACAATGTACCTACCTATATAGTTTAAGTTTAAAAAATGTGGCTCTCAAAAGAAATTTCAGTCGTTGTACTGTTGATATTTGGCTCTGTTGACTAATGACTTTGCCAACCACTGGTATACAGTAACAGGAGGAAAAGCAGAGTATATAGGGTGTATGCACTGAGAGATGGTTAAATGTAGTGGTGGGAGCTTGTGAACATTTTCTGATTGTTTCTGTTTTCTCATTAAAATAGGAACCAAAGTAAGAGTGAGAATGAGGGGAGATGTTGGAGATGCAGGGAATATTGCTAGGTAGTCTAAGGACTCACGTAAGTTTCATGGTGATGGATTTAAAGTAAGACAAATCAACCTTTTGCCACTCTTTTCGGCTGCATGGGTCTAGGCGTAAAGTAGGTGAAGAGTTGACTATTACAGAGAGAGGCAAGGGAAGTGAGGTGTTTGCAACAAAGTGCTCGTAATTAAAATTTAGATGGAGGAGGGAAATGAAGACACAGAGGGGATGAGGTCAGTGGAAAGGAAGATCAATGGATTATAGGTCTTGGTGAAAGGATGAATTGTTGGATTCAGTGCACTAAAGGGAATAAACTGGAAAGATTGGAGATAATAGTGGGAGAGTGGGATGTTTGGGAATGACTTATGAAGTGGTTGTAGGTCTAGAATATGACCAAGGGAATGAATTGCTGAAGGGGATAAGATCACCAAAGGAGCAAAAAACTGAGACCAGAGCATTAGAAAGTTAATCCACATGGATACTGAGATCAAGATCCATGACAGGAGTGGTATTGGCATGGTATAATCCGAATGACAAGTGTTTCAAAGTTGAAGAGTGTTACGGATAAGAGAGAATAGTCTAAAAATGGTGTAAGGAAGTATGAGAAAAACTTCACTGCCTCTAGGCCCAGTGGTACAAAGGATGTGAGAGAAAACACCACCATTGGAGGTGGGAGCAGAGGCAGAGTCCTCAGGAGAAAGCAGGGCTCAGAGCAGGAATGTAAAGGGAACATTCAGAGGAGAGGCTAAGGGTATAGGGAATTTTGTTAGTAACTGGCCATTAGTTGAAAAGAGCACAAAAGGATTCCAGAAGTTAGGAGAGGAAGGTAGATGGGGACAAAAAAGAGGGTGAAGAGTAATGGTTATTAGTCTAAAAGATGAGAGATGACTCGGTAGTTTGGGACTTCTTATGGTGAGTGACATAAACAAGATAAAGGGCATGACAGTATTAATTCTCACAAGATTTGTGTACCTGGGGCCCCCCTTCAAGCCTGCATGTAGGAGTGACAGTTTTATTCATTTTTTTATCTTTACCAGAGGATATGTTTTCATTGATTTTAGAGAGAGAGAAAGGAAGAGAAACATTGATCGGTTGCCTCCTGTACCAGGGATCGAACCAACAACCTAGGTATGTGCCCTGACAGGGAATCGAGCCTACATGTAACCTTTGTGTATAGGATGGCACTCCATACAACTGAGCCACCTGGCCAGGGCAGGGCAGTTTTATTCTTGAGTTATAAATTAGTATGCAATTGACCTGGCTCCAGGCTATTTTGAAGGAAGTCCTGAGCACCTATGTCAAAGAATTTAAATGAGACGATGAATGTAAAGCAGTTAGCACAAGGCCTGAAACTAGTATTAGTTATGATACCACTATTAAGGGGATGCTAGAAGGGGGCCTAAGCTATCCCCTCAATCTTTGCTTCAGAGGAGCAACCCCCAAGACGCTGCTCTGACCTTTGCCTCCTTATCCATTCACACCACCACCAACAATTTATTCAGTGCCATCTCCATATTGTTCCTCAAAAACACAAGCCGATTACCAACATACAAAACCAAAAATATTTTATTGCTGAGTCACCTTGAGGTTCAAATGATGGGGAGTCCATAACCTGGCCAGGACTCCCATCAGGAGAGAGATAATGGGCTCCACTTAGGGCACTATCTACTCTGATCCTGTTCACCTTGTCAGTCCCTCCAGGTGACTTCTACTTCATCTGTCCGATACCTGTGAAAAATGGGAAAAACTTGGTGGATGGCTATCCTTTAACATCTTCCATTCTTCTCTGCTCTCATGGTTCTGGACCCTCTGATGTGCTGATTTTTGCTATCTACTCCCTCCAAGGGGGTACTTACCTCTGCGTGACCCCAGATTCACTGAGGGGAGTCCTGTGTCCTGCCCGAAACATCTCCCAGCCAGCCTGGGCTATCATGGCTCCATTGTCAATGCAGAATCTGGGAAGGAAACAGAGATATGAAATTTGAGGTCTGAAAGTAGAAAACTACAGTAATTGGAGGAAAAAATCAAGAAAGGACAAGGACCATTACCTCTCATCTGTGGCAAAAAGCCGGGCTCCACGTTCCTGGCACATTGTCTCCATCATTTCCTGTAGCCTCATATTACCTATGACGAGGTGGTGGGTAGGGTTAACTTAGTTTAGCCATTTCTCCAGTCTAGCTGTATGCCGCATGTGCATTTAATTAGGAAAGTGAAGTACGGGTCCTAGGGGGCAAGGATTGGGAAGCATAGGATAAGAAATAAAACTGGTAATTTCCCCAAACCCTCAGATTTAAACAATCAGGAGGAAGATGCACATGCCCAAGAATAGGAAAGAGTCCAATGATACATACACCCTACACCTCCCACGATGAGGGCCTCCTGGGAGCCACAATGTGCCATGGCCCGCTCTGTGATCTCTACCAGCATTGCAAACACAGTTTCCTGTGGGGGACAGACAAGGGGAAAACATCAGAGGGAATCCCAACTTAGCCCCAGCTTTCTGTCCCAGCTTTTTACTCCATTACCTGCAGGGAGAAACACAGATCCTCAGGAGTACACTCGCCTGTGGCCAGCATCCGCTGGGCTGCATCCTATAATTAAAGGGGGAAAAAGAACTCATAAAACTCGACACCAAACAAACGAACAACACAATCAAAAAGTTGGCGGAGGACCTGAAAACACACTTCTCCCACGATGACATATGAATAGCCGATAGGTATATGAAAAGATGTTCAACCCCACTGGCAATTAGGGAAATGCAAATCAAAGCCACAATGAGATACCACCTCACACCTGTTAGAGTGGTCGTTATCAACAAGACAAGCAATAACAAGTGATGGAGAGGTTGTGGAAAAAAGGGAGCCCTCATTCACTGCTGGTGGGAATGCAGACTGGTACAACCATACAACCACTATGAAAAGCAGTCTGGTGATTCCTTAAAAAATTAAGGATAGAGCTACCGTATGACCTAGCAATCCCTCTCCTGTGTATATACCCGAAAAACTCAAAATCATGTATTCACAAAGATATATGCAACCCTATGTTCATTACAGCATTATTCATGGTGGTCAAGATATGGAAACAACCAAAGAGCAAAGAAAACTGGATAAAGAAGATGTGGTACATATACACAATGGAATACTACACAGTCATAAGAAAGAATGAAATACTGCCATGTGCAACAACATGGATGGACCTTGAGAATATTATTGCTGGACCTGGAGAAGCATTATGCTAAGCGAAATAAGTTCAGTGGAGAAAGATAAATATCACATGATACTCACTCATTTGTGGAATATAATTGAACGACATAAAACTGATGACAAAAAA